AATAAAAAGGTTTGATTGCTTGCAATACGCTTCTACATTTATAAGAGTTATGGTTTCATAAATTTTACTTAAAGTCGCAACCGAGTGACTTGATAATCCTACGTCATGTTCACCTTTCTCCAAAAAAAAAAACAAAAGAAAAACCAGAATCAGTTAAACTGTGGTTAGCGTTAACCAATATTTATGGTGTTTTGGCGAAACAAAGGTTCGCCGAATTTCCGCGTGACTTACGAAAGAAAGCAATTAAACGTACGGCTAATCAAAACGAATGACCCGCGGAAGAGTGGCGCTCTAACCCGGACAAGCCGACAATAGAGCAGACAAGGCCTCTGGGTTACCTACTTTTAATTGCGAGCACGTTTTACGCTCGACGGAGCGCGCGCGGTACCGGACGAGCTATAAATTTCCAGCCCGAGCGTTTATCCCCGCTGCAACCACAAAACTAATTAGTCCGGCAGTAATTAATCTTTCATCCACAATCAGAGACGACGCACTTGTCTATTGTCTCACGAACGAAACAATCGCCACGCGATTTTGTATCTCTTTGACCAAACGATCACTCGGAATTTACTTAGAACAGTTTCTCGAGATATTGTAAAATCCTGACACTCTATTTCTCGATATTGTGTTTTTTAAGAACCACTTAGGCGGAGCACAACATCTGATATCAATAATATTTTAATTACTGTGATATAATCTCTATATAAACAAGACTTTAACACATTCGTTATCGAGTATTACACATGTGTGTTCTATTTGATTTTTCTCGAGAGATCGATATCATCAATATATATAATTTAGAATTAATCTTTAAAATATATATGGAATATATACACTGAAAAAAATAGTTGTTAACTAAATTAAATGTGTTTAGTTGGTTATATATGATTTATTTAGTCGAAATATTAATGTATTTGAGTCAAATACACATTTCTTTCACTTATATTTCGACATGACATATCTTTGAATTAACAGATATTTCTTTGACAGCCTGTGACTGCCATATTTAGTTGAGTCAACTAATATTTTTTTAAATCAACTACTTTTTTTCTCAGTGTAGAAATATATATTAAAGTACATAAAATTGAGAAAAATGTAAAATATGTAAAACGATTATTCAGAATACTCAGCTATAGCTCTTTTTAATAAATTCTATATGTGAATATAATTGCAATATACATTACGTTGAATGAAATTATTAAAAAGTACAATATGGTCTGAGAGACAAAAGTTGTTCTAATTCAACCATATTAAAACCACACCCTATTTTAAGGTTCATTTAGCATAAACAGGTTTTTACTCACGGGTGAATTCGTCTCGTGTCTCTAATGATGCACAATTACGACTGCGTCGATTTCCACCGGATTGCCCATGACGATTCGTCGTCTGGTTGCATCCTACATGTGTGAAATTTTACTCGCAATTAACCTGACACCCGTCGCATCGTATCCTCGAATTTCCCATAAGTGCATTTCGCGTTGTTTATCACTTCTTAATTGACACAGCGTGATAAGATATGTTGTTCCACTTTCTAATGTTTTTCGCAATCGCACTATGAACGTTTATGTAATCTCCCATATCTGGAACAAAAAGCTTGGACATGTTTGTTAAATTGAGCGAATTTCTTCCGCGTCAGCACATTGAAAAATCAGAATAAAAATAATACGTTGATACAGTTTAAATTTCATAAGTGAAAATGGATATGCTTTTACATTTATACATTCCATTTAATAAATGTTAATTATATTTCAGGAAAAAGATTTCTTTTCATAAATAAAATCTAAGAATTTATAATTTATACCAGATTTATAAAATTAATTAATTCATTAAATTAATAGTTATAATAAATTTAAACACATTATAACACGTAATCTCGGTGATACAAAATTTAGTATTTTTAAATGATTTAAAGAATATACAATTTTTTATACATTTTAAATACTTTTTATCTAGTTACTAATAGACAAGGTCGTTTAAGATTATTTTAAATAAATAAAAATTATAATTATACAATATTTTTTCCATTAAATTAATTATAATTTGTATGACATTATTATTCGCGATTTTATTTTTTGCAATTTCTTATTAATGTCAATTAAGAATTTAATGTAAGGAATCCATTAAAAATGATGGGACAATTATGGAATTCTGAAATACTTTTATATTCGAAGAAAAAGGGAAGTCTGATAACCACGTCTACCGCTGCATTGCGATCCAATTAATCCACCTGATAATTATTTTCTGCCTCCCAAGCGAGAGCGTGCCTGCTTCGTGAGAATACAGAGCGACGGTGTGCGATCGTAATTATCTGTAGTTTATCTAGACGTGAAACGAAGCTGGGCTCTTATCACAATAGCACATCCCCCATGGCAACATGGACAATGCACTTCCGGTGTGTATTCCTCACACGCACGATATGAATCGGTTCGTATTTCAATTTGTATCGTTATGTTGCGCTACCGTGATATCTCATCACACGCATGATACCGATACCTAGTAGCGGGACCAATAGATGCGGGTCGATTGTGAAAGGGAGAGTCGCTCTTCTACCGGTATTCCCAGTATTTGTATGTTCCTTCCACGAACATAATACAAGCATATTAAATTTACATAAATCAATATTAATGTATTAATCTGCTACCTGCAATACGGAATTTTGTCTAACGCGATGTCATAGATGTATTATTTCAACGGGAACTTTCCTGTTTGATTTACATAATTAAGATAATACCTGATAAATTATACGTTGTACTGACAGTTACAATTAATAATTAGTTAAACATGCGGGTTTGTTGTGATAGGTTTGTTGACATCGTATCGATTAATTTAAAAGAAATATATATTTATTTCTGGCTTATATAAAAAACAAGTTTTAGAAAATGTTTTATTGTTACTTATCAATTTATCATTATTTAAATATTATTCCAATCACATACATTTAAAAAAATAAAAGCATCTCGAATTTTTTTATTAATATTTAATTTAATTATTGAGAAGATTCAATTTGACTGATTTATATGTCCTACAATTATTTTTCAAAAAAGTTTCTATTGATCATATACAATTTATAATAGTAAATGTTCAATGTGACATTTTTTCTCTATCTTATTGATCAAAATTGAAAATTGTATTAATAAATTTCGCTCGTTTTGTGCAATGCAAATTAAATAAGTAAATGGTTTAAATCGAGCTAAATGGATTTAATAATAATAATTGTTCTTAAATTTTATGATATAAAAGAGAAACATAACTTGGAAACTAACAAAAAGTGTCGTACGTTTTGAAACTCACAGGTCCTTCTTCAAATTTTATGTTATTTAGTAAAATAAATGTATTATAACATGCGCTGTTAAAATATGTATATCCTAACAGTATATGACATAAATAAGAACAAAGAGAAAGAATTTTATTCTCTGTAAAACACACATCACACATAAATAATTGCATCGTTTTACGTTTCATTAAAAAAATATATTTTTATTAGCATTTGTCTACTTGTCCGTTTAAGAGTTAATAAGACTAGATTTGACTAGATCAGTGGCAATGTGTCAGTAACGATCGTGAGTAACAGAGGAATGCGCTCGTCAAGTGCCAGGGAATCGTTGACACGATCGTGTATCAAAGCGTCACCATCAATGAACGAGAAGGGATACGAGGTCGTCGTCGTCATCGTCAACCTGTAGTAGAATTGCTTCCTAGAATCGAACCAATGACATATATATAGCGATATTAGTCATCCGGCTGATTCATTAATGCTATGCCAATCGAATTAAGGCCGGGCTTTTCTCGCGTGCATTAAGTAGGTCGACCCTGGATGCTGCTGGCTGATTAGCTCTCTCACAGAGCCGGTTGCCGACATCTCTCTCCCTCTCTCTATCTGTACATATATACATCTCTTTCGCTCTTGCGTCATCATAGTATCGAAGTCGACGACCTAGTTTTTCTCACCTCTGAGGTCAGGAGTCGGAGGAGCATAAAGGGGTCCTCCACCCCTGCGAATGCTTTCGTCCGTTTATATCGTACTCACGTTTCACGTAAAATTTTACCGACCGGACTTTATTATTTTGCAAATTTTGTATATAAAGTGACACGTATAACAAACAATTTGCAGTGCTATATTTTATATTATTCAATAGCGTGACAAAACATTTTGAACATTTTATTGAATTTTAAGATTTTAGGAACTTCATTGAGTTTATATTAATATAGTTATGGTGGTGTATTATATATTTTTGTGTAGACTCTCTCTCTCTCCTAGATTCTTAGAGTAACGATTAAAAGGATCAAATTACGCCTTGATTGTAGATTCGTTTCGATACCCTTGTTTCAACAAATCCATTTTTCAATGACAACTTCAAAATTGTTGTGCTTAATAAAAGAGGTCGCGGATATTTATAGGATGGTACCAGGGTGCTCGCACAATCCAGGGTGTACCAGAAATCGATGAGCATTCGTGCGCGCTCGCAGAAGGCAAGCAGTTTCCCTCCCTCCACAAAATAATAAACCCTCTCTGTATCCAATGTATTTCAATATTGCATAATGAATATTAAGTTGCACAATAAATTCCGTAGAAGTTTTATCTTCGCCTATAGAAGAAAATCGCGTAATAAAAAAAGTGTATAAGAAAAAAGAGGAAACTACTCTCATAATTTTTCAGTTCTATGTGTTGGCGAGTTTCGTGTGTAAACTATTTTTTATAGATAATATGTACTTTATGGTCATTACAAAATTGATATAATAAAACAAGGTCAATCTCTTTTAATAAGATTCGCTCTCACAATACAGTCAACTTTTTATTTATGTCGTTTTTCTCTTTCGTTTCTTTGCAGAAAACAATGAACGGACCAGTTTATGCGTCATCTTGTCCCGCATTGCAGTCAAATCTGTCGCTACACAGCTCATCCTATTACAGCGAATATAGCGGCACCACGCGAAGACGACTATCCTCGACGGGCGAGGCGGATACTTCCGCAACGTCGAGTTATGAGGGTAGTGACAGCTCCGAGAACAGCGACGAGTCTCGTCTCGATCCAGTTAGCCAAGTGGAACGAGAACAGCTCGAGACTTTTTTTCGAGGATTAAAATCACAGGTGAGCTTTGCATTAAATATGTAATAAACTACACGTACACAAATGAATGCGTTGATAAAAGAAATAATAAATTAAACGAATTTATGATATAAATCGTATGGGTAAGTGCTATGAAATGTAGCTACGAGCGAGCCTGAATAAGATAATATCTTGTGTTTTGTGATACGCAGGTATTCGTCTGTGAGTCACTGGCGAATCTGTATCTCGGGAGCGCCTCTCAAACAGAGAGGTGGGAGCTCCGTTTCACCGGAATTCCCGTGGTGGTTCTTGATCTTGGGGAGACACGATCAAGATCCAAGAGACGAATCCAAATTTTATTGGCAGAACGCGGTACTTGCTTCACTCTCTGGCGTGAAACTATCGACAACCTCTCATCGTACAAGGTACCATCGTTGATCATTCATAACATGCTTGTCTCTAACAATATATGTTTTCAAAACTTGGATTATTACATAAGTGTATTATTATATATAAAATATAGTATATGTAATATCCAATTTATAAATTAGTAGTGACAAGTAATTAGTATTCAATACTCAGATTACAACGTAATACTCGAGATGCAATGTTAATGACAGACTGCAACCTAAATAATTTATTTACGTGTTCATGCTCGTCAGATAGATTACGGAGTGCTATATTACAAAGCGGATTAAATTTCAGCATTGGACATTTAATACCGTTTCAAATTTCTTACGTGCTTGCCAGACGAAATAAAACACAAGTGGTACGGCATAGTATGAATCGCACAAGTATTTTTTAAATCTTTAAAGCGACGTCAAAGAAATTTTCCTCGTATAGTGGAAAAATACTATTTATATATTACATTAGGTACACCTTCGATTTTTCGCGTTCTACGAGATAAAAGCATTCGAAATATTTTCAGGTATCGGGACCAGCTTTTCACACGATGTGTCTCTCGTCAGATCACACTCGCCTAGCTGGACTCAGCTTCGACAACTCAAAAGCGGCGAATGATCTATGGCAGCACATAGAGCGCCTCGTGTCCTGCCCGGAAAATATCAGCCTATCGGCTCCGGGTAAGAAGAAAAAGAAACCAGTGCAGAAGAAGGTAGTGCTACCGGCCAAGAGCAACATCAGTCAACCGTGCCAGTTCCAGCATGTGACCAGCGTGGACGCGGCCGATCGTTCGCGTTACTTCTCGCTGCAGACGCTGGTACCAGCGCTGAGCGAGTTGGAGAGCTCGCTGGAGGCAAACTTCTGAGAAAAGCCTGAAGCCTCCAAGCTCTCATAGGGTCGACGCAGCGCGACGCCTGACTCCCGCCTTCTTCTTCGGAAGTGATCACACCGAGGAAGAAGGATCCGGTTAATGTCGCGTGCGAGAGAACCGATGAAATCCAAGAAACTCGCGCACAGGCGTCTCGGATTGCGAACTTTGAGAGCTGTCGAATAAAGGAAGGCGACACCGCGGATTCCATTGGAATTTCTTTTATCTTCTTGCTCTTCCTCCGAACTAGTTGTAGAAGGTCTAAGACCTAAGACGGGGAGGAGATATATCGACGAAGCTTTAACGACAAAAAGAGAAGGCGGATACTCTTTTCTCGAAGAGCCCTCGCGGCTCTTGTAGTTTTACTTGGATTCATCTTTAACTTCTCTCGTGTCTCTCCCGATATAATCAGCCAACTATAGTTAGTAAGAATTAAGTAAGACGCTGAATTTCGATTCCGCATTATCTCTTGTTCTCGGCGGATCAATTTTCCGATATGAGGATTCAAAAAACCAAACTCGAAGAACTTTGAAGAGACAAAGTGCGGCAGGAGGAAGGAGATTTGTGTCTTCTCCGAAATAGACTAATCCGTTAATGTCACGCGCGCAAACTACGAGATTGTCCGCAGACTGAGGCGGAACATTCATCAATCCTTCTAAGTACTCTTGAAAGTGACTACGATTGATGTTCGCGACTGCGAATCCTGACTGCAGCCCCGAGCGAAACAGAAAGTATCCTCGAGGCTTTCTAGTGAGAGACTCTCCAATCTCATCCCACTCTCTTTGTCTTCGAAGAGTCCTTCGAGTTGTAACTATCGATGTCGTGAGATTTATTGTAGACTCAAAGAAAGTCTTCTCTATCGAACGTTACGGCGATAAATGATCTATTCGTGATAAACGTTCTCGCATCTCGGAGAACACACACTTTTGATAGATTATTTTATTATTATTAATACACCACATGACTATCTGGTGTTAAACTTTTAATTTTTCAGTAAAATAGAAAAAGAAAATTAATCAAAATAAAAATTGAAGGTAATAATATGTAAATGATAGAAATAGATTCATTTTAATTACGTATTATATATACATTTACGGCCTTTTTACTTCGTGTAAAGTAGAGAAATTTTTGTTTATATTTTTATTTCGCGTGTACGATGGTTCTACGTACCTATTTTAAAGGATCTTTAGAGATTCATGAAAGCAGGACGACCGATCGTCTTGTCGCACTCTGCAATTCGAATGCGGCGATGTAATGCGAGGGGAAGAACAAGCGCTTTCGTAATGGAATGTCAAAGACGCGAAACCTTGACACGAAAACCAAACAGCGAAGCATTGCGATTAGAAAGAATCATGCAAATATATGCAAAATATATTTCCGGGAGCATCGTATCGGTTGTATACACGTTGTTGCTATTTACTGAGAAAAGAAAACTTTCTCGTTGAGGAGTGGAGGAATTGTACGGTTTGTAATTAAAGACGCGCGCTGTCGTGGTGAAAACGACATTTAAAGAACTTTCAAAGCAAGATGTGAATAATTATGTCGTTACGAAATTAAGTTTAATGCTTTCCCGATTGCATTCACCGTAAAATGCCAATAGCTTCAGAAAAAAAGACTTAAAGATGAAATGGCAATTATCTTCATTAATTGCAGAAAAAATGTATTTCCTTTACTATTGATCGCAGAAAGACAAGGCCTGTCGCTCATTCACTGTATGTTGCAACAACATGGCTTTAGATCAGCGAAGAGTTGGGGCGTTTCGAAATATTATGATATAATAATTGTAATACTGTTAGACAAGACGTCAAAAAAGAAACCGACACAATCGAAACAAAGAGCCAGATCTTCGTGATGTAGAATGTTAACATAAACCAAGTCATTAACGTCTGTATGTTGTGGATTCGTGAATTATAAGTACGTAAGATTGATGCACGATTTCAGTAAGCGACATAGGAGTCGATAAATCAAAGAACGAAATACTGCCGAATATTGAAATGCAAAATAAACTAAGATTAAAAGCGACAAGTACTGGAAACAATTATTGTGCCAAAACAGTAATTGAATCAATAAAATAACAGGTTTTAATTAATTCATATTCGAAGACTCGAGTATCATGCGCTTCCACTTAACACAAGAGTTGAAAAAGCCAGTCCATATCGTAATTAAGGCAATTACAACAAATTGACCAGCGTGTTTCCAGGCTTGTAACGCTCGTTTAACACATTACGATGTTAATTAGATTACTAATTAGGTAGAACTAGTTGGATTAACGTGTCCATTTATAGCAAATCCTACTTCCTACCCCTCGAGTCGTTGCAATGTGTCTGTAGATTTCGGTAGAATTTTTCGATCTTGATGTCGACAACGTGTACGCTCGATAAAATGTTAAACAATGAAGATCTACAATCATCAATTCTATCCAAGTGAAATAATATTAAAGAACTGATTTTTAATTAAACGTTCTTGGATCAAACTGGGACGTTTCATATCCTAATATAAATGTTATCCTTGCAAAGACAATTTAATTTTATATCTCGAACTTATAGTGCTTCAGAAATATTCTTTTAATACAATCGGTTATATCTTTTCAATTTCATAGATATTAATTAAAATCTCTTTTCAATCTTTCTTTCGTATTATTTCACTTAGACGTACTTGGTCCATAAATGAAAATAAAGATAAGTATTCTTCCCGAGAAAGTCGCGTTCGAGAATGTTGTTTTTACGACATTCGCAACAAGACTGGTTTTACCATCCCGCGAATGTAGGCACAGTTAATAATAGGTACCTAGTAGTAATAGTGGTCATTAAAAATTGATTTTATCCTTGGGATTATGTACGTGAACGTCCCTTCAACATCATTCTCATTTATCGCTTCAAAACTTCCATTTCGCTGGGCGGAGAAACGCGCATGCGTGTTTCGCTTTATATCCATTGCGAATCAAACTTTTAGCGACTAAGATTAATTAGCGTGTCACTACATTTAAGTTAGGCTCGCCCGGAAGAATTTTTTATCATATTGTATCCGAGATCTACATAATGCTTTTTGCAGGATTTATACGCACATTTGTGTCACGTGAGTCGTAAGTTCTTTTCAGGAGAAAATCTGGGCGATTATTCTAGGCATTTAAATAAACATCGTAACTTCGAATTAATACTAATTTCATTATCTACGACTGTGATATAAATATATGTATTTGTATCGTTACGTTTCGTAACATGTATTCGCATTAATCAATCACTTGGAAACATAAGTTTATGAATATTCTATGTAACGATAATTATTGTGCTAATAAATAATAACTTCATGAAACAAAAAATGTTTGTCCAGGTTTACTTACTACTTTTTAAATTATTAACTAAAAATTTTTAATTTTTTCGTATAAATGTAGCTCTGAAATTATCATTACTATAATAACAGTTTATAAATTAAATAAAAATATAATTTTTCTGTACTTTTTAAATTTAACGTATACTTAAACAATCTTTATTTTCTCTTATCATTTTATAATTAAAAAAAGATATATTTTCTTTTATATGATAAATGTATGTTCTTATTTTTTCGCATTATATTTACACGAATTTTCACAATCTTCCATATATATATTTTTTTTTCAAGTCTTCTTGTGAATGTTTATATATATGTATATAAGAACATTCATAAGAAGATTGGAAAAAATGAGAACATATATTTATTATATAAATATAAAATAATGTAAATCAATATAAATAATAAAACATAAAACTGATTTTCCTTAAATTTATATTGAATTTTAAATTTCGCTTTTACTTCATCTACATATGTGTATAATTTGTTCTCATTCTTATTTTTCTTGTTAGTTTGAAATTATGTTGCATCTTGTTTTCTATCTTTGTTCTCCATTTTTTCTCAAGGATTTAATGTTTAATCATAAAAGATCTTTCATTTCCTATTTCATCGGTGAATGTACCATTATTCGGTATCATACACTTGCTATAAGAGGAAAGCACAGTTCGTTGAATAATCAGTTCCAGAGATTTTACAGAAACCAACTTTATCGAATGGCGTTAGCGTTCACCACGAAAATCTCTTATCCGAATATTTCTCTCCTTATCCAATATTCCACCTATAATGATACAGTTGATTAACAATTTAAACATCATCAGTAAAAAATTAATATTTTGAGTAATAAATATTACAAAATCGTTTATAATAATGACTAATTTTACTGTATTTCGCGTTCCACTCTTTTAATATAATTAAACGTAAAGCAAAAATGGAACATTACTAAGTCCTTTTCAAATTTATGGTTGTAAATTGTATTATTGACTAATCGTAAAATTTTATTAATAATTTTTAATTTTTTTTTGTTTCAAAATCAGAAATGAGAAAAAGACTAATATTTCTATAAACTAATAATTATGATTTGTGTTATACGTTATGAAAACTGATCATTGAACGCCTGTAGTTGCAAAAAGAATCGATAAATATCACGATAATACATATTAAAGATATTTTCTCCGTATCGATCTACGACGAATAAATCATAATGGTCCGCAAATATATTACCACGCACCACCTCACTGCCAAAATCGCGATATGTATCTCACGTTTTGACGCGCTTGTACTTTGTGCTCATCACGTATAGGAAGAGGCCGTCTATGTATCTGGGTGCTCCAGATAGATGCGTCTGATATGAAATCGGTCGGTTGTCGAGCCAGGTCCTGAACCGAGTAATGAGAGACCCAGTGCCGCCTCCCATGTATCTCGTCCTCCCTTGTTTATGAGAATCGTCGGATTTACATCAGAGCGATCGTGATCATGTGGGTGGATCTCGAAGGAGCGAACGCGAAAGAGTGGGTGGATACAATACACTTGCTTTCGACTGTTAGATATATGGGAAAGTTCTTAGTACAATGGTCTTTAAAAAAACGTAAAGTTTACCCTTATTAAGTTACAAAAAACTGTAAATTATTAAATTAATAAAAACTGAAAGAGAGAAATTTAAGATCGTTCTTCGTATAAAATAAATAAGTAAAGTATATAGTATCCACATAATAAGATTTCCAGCAGATGTAACATGTTTAAAAGATATTAATGTATAGTTATATAGATCCACACAAATAGAAATGTATTTTCCAGTTAATATAAAAATTTCATTTCGCTAAATTTCATTTTGCTAAATTTATCAAATAAAAACCTCAAAACATATATAGCAATATATATTCACAAACAATAATTCATTTATAAAAAAAAATCCGTTAATATAATTTTTTAGGTTTGTTGTAGTTACATTAAATTTAACTGTTCTGGAAATTTAATTTGGAAATTTATTCGGGGTATGTTTGTTAACATTTGGCAAACGCTACATAAATGGAATTATATATGTATTTAAAGGCGATATAAAACAAAAGTGACAAACTCAAGTTTTTTTTCCATTTACTCAAGTAGATATAATGATAAGGCATTCTTGAATGTGAAAAACTAATTACACACTAATAACTTGTGTCGGCTCATATTGGCATATTATTGATCTTTTTGGACTTATTCATCTGAGCTTATTAATTATCATGTTTTTTTAATTATTCACATTCAAGAATGTCTTATCATTATATGGACAAGCGCATTAGGTTTTATATATCGTGTAATCTCAAAAAGCGGTATAATACACTAACCAGATGTGTACATAATTTATATATTATTTTATAAAAAAAGATTTTTAAAAAAGAAACTGTTTTGTGTATTATAAAATTAGTATGCTAGTTAACATCAGGAGACGCGATAGTGTCTCCGGCCATGTTCAAAAACTGAATACTGATATCCCACAGCGATTATTTGAGAAGGTGGATACCATCAGCAGCATCCTCATAAAGTTAACGATCAACCAAT